CCAGTACCTGAAAATCAGCTCTGAATTGTAACATACAAAACTCAATAAAACAAATATATTATTTAATTTCAAATGCTTTTATTTGCTTTTAGTTGTTTTTATGAATATGGACAATATTTTCTGAAAGCAAAAAAATTTTTCCGATGAAAAATGAATTTTTAACACAATTATTTGTTATTTCATTAATTATAATAGATTTTACATTTAAGTTGTTAAAATATTATAAAATTAGTTAAAAGTCAGACAGGCTTTCATAAGTGTCCTTATGAGATAGATCTTTTTTTTAGCGCGTTGTAAATTGTATCATTTTGACTAATCAGAAGATCCCCAGTAATTAAGAAATGTAATTTTGTGCTTATAATCGAGCTGTAATTATAAAATACGGAAGACCAACCAGAATATAATTAAGTTACGTTATTTGAGTTAAGCATTGTTCTCCGCTGTTAAGGCCTTTACTTTTTGTAAACACGTGTGGAGAAGTTAATTTGATTTTCAATTTCAACTGAGAAGGGTACCTACAAGTATCAGTATCATCTTATGAAATTTATATGATCTTATTTTTATATTAATCTCAGTTACGACATTTTTCCATAAATGAAATATCAAAATTAATAATAAAATGAATGCAAATACAAATAACAGTAGAATGTAATAAATGTACATAAAATTATAGTATTTTATGTACAATTCTGATAAAATTTCATAAGAAAGGTACCTATGAATTAATTAGATACCTTTCTTAAGAAATATGAAATTTAATGTCACTCTTAACAGTTTTATTTTAAATTTTTAAAATATATTTCCCATAAAGCAAAATAAACGTAAAGGTTAAAGATAAGTAAAAAAAAAAAAAAAAAAAATTAGACCGCTGAAAGTTTTCGTTAAAAATAACGGGGTAAATAATTTGTTCACGTAAATGTAAATTATTTCACTTTTCTCCTTCCATAGAACAAATTAGCCTCATGGAATTCGTAAATATATCATTCATCACATGTCAAGAGACGCGAAAAAAGTTTATGACCTGCTTTGTTTTATTTTCAAATTACATGTTTTTGGCACAAAAGCTAAGTTAAGTTTGGTTCAAAATATTTTAAATAAACATTATAATTTCTGATTTTCTTAAAATAAGTTTTGAAAAATGATAATTGATATTTAAAAAAATTTCAAAGTCAGATTTCCAGTTTTTTTTAAATGGAAAAAAATGGTCAATTTTGCTGACTCAAAAAAACTTGATTTTTAACGAAAATTTCGGATGTGCTAGAACGATTAAAAAATGGAAAAAAATACCCCAAAAATACTTTGACCTTTCCTCTTAATGAATAACAAACATTTAGACGATAAAATTTTGTTTTTCGTCAAGTTTGCGTCTTTTTCATCATGCTATGCTCTTTTTTTAGCGATCTCATGGAGGTACCTATATTAAATCATAAAATGAAGGTCATTCTGAATGGGCTTGCTTCAAGATCATTTTACACGAACACTGGTGTCCCCCAAGGCTCTATCTTGGGTCCTATGCTGTTTCTGATCGTCATCAATGATCTTTCTGATGTCATCAATTCACAAGTAGGCATGATGACACTACCATTTACTCTTGTCTCAATAGCAAATCCACCAGAGTCGACAAAGTTAACCTTACCACTGCTCTTGAAAAGGACCTCCAATCTGTGGTTAACTGGGACAGGAAATGACTCGTAAATTTTAATGCCTCCAAAATGAAGCTGCTCTCAGTCAACCACCATAGAGAATCTTTCCTTTCCACCATCAGCTTGGCTGATGCTCAATTCATGGAGAACAACACACTGTGGCTTCTTGGCCTCACCTTTTCAACTGACTTGAAGTGGAGTGACTACATCAAATCAATAGCTGCATCTACTGGAAGGAAAAATGGGTCAATGTGTCATGCTAGAAGGTTTTTCTCATCATAGTCTATCGTGCACATTTACAAATCTAACATCTGCCCATGCATTAAATACAGTTGCCATATCTAGTCTGATGCTCCTGCTACTCATTTTGAGGTTCTTGACAAAAATCCAAAGAAGGATCTGCAATGCAACTGATCCTGACTTAACATCTTGACTTCAGTCTCTTTTTCACCAATGTGATGTGACTTCCCTCTGTCTTTTCTTTAAGTATTTTCAAGGGAACTGCTCTGCTGAGCTTTTTTCCTGATGTCTGGACTACGTGAGTTCAAGTGTTCTACATCTAGGTCACAAAATTTTACTGTTGAATTAGTTACATGTAACCACCACTTCTGCTCTAACAGTTTCTTTTCTCACACTTCCCACCTGTGGAACTCCCTTCCATTTACTTGCTTCCCTGATAACCATAATCTTCAAAAATTTAACTGTAACACTAATCGCCATCTTCTATCTTCTTGAACCCCATTCAGCTTTTATCCTTTCCTTAGTCCTTCTTATACCCAGTCTTTTCTTCCACCCCACTGTTTAAAACCCTGCATACCAGTGACATTCCCACCTTGCTTGGGGTGAAATGATTAAAAAAAATTTTTTTTTTAAATAAATAAATTGGCCTTCTTGGCATAAGACAATCTGGGGCTGGGGGATCAAAACTTTAGAGTCTAACCATCAACATAAAAAGGATCTCTGTGATGTGCTGTTAGGAGGGCCTGGCTTGCCCAGCGTGTCCACCAACCACACTCATCTGTGACTCCTGCTCACAACTCTTCACGAATAAGCTGGGTCTTCACAGCCATCTCCGCTACCACCACAACAAGAGGGGAGAAAGGGAATAAAGAGAGAGGACGACAATCCTGATGTGAGCATATGAGGAGGAGTTTTTTAGACAAAAGTTTTATCATACATCTATGGAGGAGAGTTGATGGTGTAAGTGGAAGGTGGAGGAGAGTTGATGGTGTAAGTGGAAGGTGGAGGAGAGTTGATGGTGTAAGTGGAAGGTGGTAAGGAAGGGGAGAGATGTTATTGTTTTGAAAAGGAGTCCCCTTCCATAAAACATCAGGTAACTGTCTTTTTGGGGATTCTTATTTTTCTCTTTTCTGTCTCATAGCACTGCTTGAGACTCACTGGGCTGATGTCTCATTAAAAATTTATTCAATGTAGTTTGTTTTTGTCTACCATTTTAATAATTTATAAAAAAAACACAAAACACAATGAAATTCAAGAGAAAGCACATTGAATTTAAACAGGGATGTGTGTGGAGGGAAAGCTACACTGCAACTGACACTCCCCCACTGATACTCACAGCTTGTCACTTCACTTGGTTACCAGCTTGTGTGTTTGTTGTTTGAGACACTGTTCATCACCCAAGGCATTTTTTCTTCAGAAAATTTGTTTGTGAACAAATTCATTCATGATGAGTGGAATCGGGACCCAAGGTTCCACTGTATGTATGTTTGGTTTGGTTTACGGCATATCAACCTCAATGCGTTATTTTTTTTTACAAAGTATTTCTGGTATTAAAACCTGTTTTTACACTTTCAGAGTGTTTTTACCCCAGTTTCAGGGTTAACTATTTGCCCATAGCTGGAACCCTAACAGATGCTACCACCCTGGGTCAGGGTGGACCTGGGAACACCAGCAATTAAGAGGTAGTTCCATGCTCCTCAAAACCTCCTGATCAGAGGCCTTGCTGCTGGACGTAGTTTATCGTCTTACCCAGGACGCGGATGTAGTTTATTGTCATACCCAGGATGTCTGTATGTATATCTATATATATGTATATTTAGGCAACATATCTTCATTCAAACATGCTTCATTGAGTAATACAGACATATTATGTCTATTTATTTTATAATGAACTTCCCTTGTTCTTTAATAAGTTTCTTGATGTTAAGATGAAATTCAAGGAAGACACTGTAGTTTTTTCCTACCCAAGTACTTTTGATCTCTTCCAAGACCATCTTCAGAGGTGAATTAAAAATCATTATCACAACTACAATAAGTTTATCTTTGTAATTTACCAATGAGGATGATTTTGGAGGAGATCGAAAGTACTTGAGTAGGAAAAAACTACGGAACCTTCCTTGAAGAATTTCATCTTAACATCAAGAAAATGATTAAAGAACTAGAAAGGATCATTATAAAAATAAATAGCCATAATATGTCTATATTATTCAATGAAATATATATATGTGTGTGTGTGTGTGTGTGTGTGTTAAGAATTTGAAGTTGATGTTTAATTTTATAGAAAAAGTTACTTGCTCTTTTTTTTTTAATTACTTATTGGAAATAAAAATCAAAGAATAACCCTAAAGCTGAAAGTGAAATTTACATAGAATGACTCGTTTATTTTTTAGTTATACTTTTTTTTAAACAAACTGATTATCTACATTTTCAAAGTGACTAGTTTATGTCTAAATAATTATTATCAATAGTACAAGAAGAAGACTAACACCCAACCCAAGTTTAGTCGCCCCGTCTTCGAATTTTATGTTTATTTCTTTTTATGTTGCTACAAAATTGTAGGGTGTGATTGGTGGGAGCGGAAATAAAACTGCTCACCAAACTTTTCATTCTTTTATTCTTACACTTGTTAAGCACTCTGCATCAGTATGTGGTTGGGTGCTCCAGCAATAAAGCCTTATGTCAGACATATCAAGATCTGATTCCCGTATGTTGTATTTTTAAAAGACTAAATAAAAACACAAAAAGTTTAAATTTAAATTTGCTAAGTTCAAGAAGTTAAACTTTATATCCCTTTTTAGTTGCAAGAAAATAAAATTAAATTCCAAACATTTTTTTTTTATTCAACAGAAAAAAATCAATTGAGGGTAAGACAAAATTTTTAATTAAATTTTTTATGAACAGTCGAATTAACAGTTAACACAGAGAGTATAATAAAAAAAAAATCGATGAAACCGACCAAAACAATAAATTAAATAAAAAAAGTAAAACTCAAGTGATTAAATTCGGTAACGTAAATAAAAATAATGACAACAAAATGTCGACTTGTTCAATTGAGAAAGACAAACAAATAATTTTAACTTAAAAGAAAACAAAACAGAAGGGAGTCGATTAACAAACCTGGGGTCTTCAAATAGAGATTTCAGATTTAATGGCTACAGTCGTGCATCAGTCTCTCTTAATGTGTTGACAATAATAATAGGACTTTTTTTTTTTTTAATCAGTGTTGGTCGTTTCCGTGGAAACTAAGTACACATTACAATCAGCAAGGAAGTCGCCATTTTGTTTAACTTCCGTTGCTTCAAGGACGAGAATTTCAGAGTTATCTCCCTTGCGCCTTCCCGCCAATAAATACGACACGCCCACGTTTCGCTTTCTCTCTACATTGAAGACGTTAAGAAAGAAATAATGAATAAGCCTTATATTTGAAATTGAAAGAAAAAAAAAAAGCATTTAAAAATTAGGATTCTAATTTAAATTGTCCTTAAGTTATTTTTAATGCTCAAAGTTTGGAACTGTATGGTTTGATGACCTGAAAAGAATGGGGAAAAATAAGAAAACTTTGCCCAAAGAAACCAGAAAATGCGCCAAAGGTATTTCCCATGTGTATCATTTACAAACAAATAGGGAAATGGCTGCCAAAAATAAATGAACAATTTATCATTTAATATCTTTGTCATGATGATATTTGCTAAAGGAAATTTGACATTATAGGTGGAGAACTTTTGAATTAATAACAAAGTATAGTGAAGTAGTTCTGAAAATGTCAAAGGATTCCAGATACATTATTAATTTAGAAAGGTACCGCCACTCTTTTTTCGCTGAAAAAAGAGCATAGAATGATTTTAAAAAAATGCTCCAAACTTAATAAAAACAAAGTTTTAGTCAAAATGTTCATATTATTATTAAGAGGAAAGACCAAATTATTTTATTAATTTTTTCTAATCTTTTCTAGCACGTCGAAATTTTAGTAAATATTGTTTTGTGTTTTGTTTTTTTTAGCTCCTTTTTTTCCGGTAAAAAATACACACACACAAAAAACAACATTGATTTGGAAATTCTTGCAATTCAAAAAAATCAAATAATTATCAGATATTAATTAATGAGATTTTCAGCATTTATTCACAAATGAATGCAATTATAATTTTTTTTAGAAAACATTTTTCTTTTTACATCTGTTAGCCCCACTTAATTTTATGAAATTTCGAGAAATTAAATTTTCATCCGAAAATTTTTTATTAGTTAAAGCAGGATTCCTTGGAAAATGTAAATCATAATTTTTTTTTTTTTTTTTTTTGAAAGAGTTACTCATTTCCCGAAAATCTGCTCCGAATCGTAATATAAAAAAATGCATTTAAAACTGACATTAGCAAAGCTTTTAAGGGCGCTAAGTCACTTATTGTCTTGATGAATTTTTACAAGAATTGTTTTCATTTTTTTAAATTATAATAATTTAAAGTTTCAAATTGGTTGTTAGTCAAATTAACAACCAATAATTGTGTATTTGGACAGCAATCCCTATTTTATACAAGTTTCATTCAATTTTTCTTGTTATTCCTAAGTGTTTTCTTTTCTGGACATAAAGTGTGTAAAAAGTAAAAACTGTCTGAATGTTCTATATATCTGAGCGCTTTCGGCTATTCTTTTAGCCATTATCAAGGACTTTTTTTTATTTCTAACTGAATTCCATCATTCTAAAAAAAAAAAAGACATTCAGTTAAAAAGTGGAAAGTACTCAATTTACCTTTTAAATGACTAGATGTAACCGTAAGTTCTATGCTAACAGTTTCTTGCCTCGCACTTCTTGCTTGTGGAACTCTATGGTTTCTTGCTTTCCAGCCAAGTTTGATCTTCAAAAAATTAAAATGCTCTGTCAATCGTTATTTTCTGTCTTCTTAATTTCTGTTATTTTATTGTTCTCTCTCATCAATAATGATTTTTTTTCCTTCATATTCTCTTTCACTCAATAATCTCTTACATCTTAGTCCTTATTGCCTTGCTTGAGGTGAAATGTTTAAAAAACTGATTTAGTGAGACAAGCTTGCTAACCATTACTGTAATTTGTGACGTCGAAGTGCCTTAAAATAACGATTTAGTGGTGCAAGGCGGAAAGTATGGAGCACCTAGTGAGGATCAAACTCACTACTCAGTCATAATTGATCTAGACAAGCTTGTTAATTTAATTTGTTAACCATTGACCTTATAGGTCTCCATTACACAATGCTGAAGTACCCAAATGATTTTCTAAGCATAGCTTAAATGTGGCACAAGGCTAAAAGTGTGGACCACATAGTGAGGATACCAGCTACACAGTTGTAATTGATCTAGTGAGACAAGCTTGTTAACCATTACACCACGTGCTCGAATATTAAAAAATAGTAATTTCTTTAGAGTTACCTCCCTTGTGTAATAAAAGTCCTGAACCAAATTCAAAATTGTGTGAAAAAATAAGTGAGTGCTAAAAAGATACCTTTCCTCTGAAGACTAATATTTAGTCAAATTTTGGAAGTAGGTGATATCAAGAACTTTTCAGCACCCTTTTTTCCTTCAGAAAAAAAAAGATTTTTTTTTCTATTTTGATGAAATGTACAGGTTTTTTTCAATTCATAAAAAGATTTCTAACTTTATTTTTCTCTTTTTCTTTTGAGATAAAAAAAATGCAAACATCAAATAAAATCAATATGTTTTACTGAAAGAAAAATAACAAAAAGAAAATATCTTCTTTTCCAATATTTAATTACGGAAAAAACCTAATATAAGTTACATTTTCTTTTTTAAATCATTTCATCCCAAGCAAGGCAGTCAAGCCAGTAAGATACAAAGGGTTACTGAGTATGAAAGAATAAAAAAAAAAGAGAGAAAGACATTATTAAAAAGTGTGAACAATAAAAGAAGAGTAATCAAGAAGACAGTAGATAACAACTGACATTACATTTAAATTTTCATAGATCAAAGTTGGTTGGACAGCAAAAAGCTGGAAGAGAGTTCCACAAGCAAGAAGTACAATAGAAGAAACTGTTAGCATAGAACTTACGGTTGCATCTCACCAATTCAACTGTAAATTGATGAGACCTTGTTGCCAATTTAGTACTGCACTTAAATTCATAAAGTCTAGGTACCATAGAGGAAAGTTCAACAGAACAATTACCATAAAATGTTTATAGAAAAGGTGCAGGGAAGGTATGTTATGGGTATGGGATAATGATGAGCCAAGATGCCAGGTTAGGACCAATAATATTGCAAATTCTTCTTTCAATTTTATCAAGAATCTCTAAATATATAGTAGGAACACCTGACCATAATTAGCAGCAGTATTCAATGCATTTGCATGTATTTCTTTTGTGTTCAGAACTAATGATATATATGTGTGTGTGTATATTATTAAAAACAATAGACATTTTATATCTGTTAAAGTTAATAATTTTTTTTCTCATAAACAAATATCCTCTTGCAAATCTTGTTGTGTGTGGATAAATTGGTTAAAATTTATGACTTCTATCATTTAGTTGCACTCAATTTAGTTTTCATAAAATGGCAACACTTTCAAAACATAATGATATTGTTGGGATATGTCTATTCAGGTTTTTGTTGTTCTCTGAGTGTCAGGATTCCAAACATTTAACAAACAACATGTTATATTCTGTGCTAATAGGAATATATACTTAAAAAAAAAGGTGGGTAAAATAAGTAAAGGTTTATTGTAAAAACGACAGTAAGAATGAAGGTAACAGTTATGAACAAGGTTGTCGCAAATCAATCCAGTAGTGAGTGCTACTATTGGAAGGTCGGTAGTTCTCGTGTAAGTCTGAGTCGTAGTCAACAGTTTCCAGCTAGGCTCTGTAGTCCATTGACTTACAGATACTTATAGGTAGTTACTACCTATAGTGTCATCATTCATGGGGGTGACAGGTTATTCCATTACATCAAAACATAAAAAAGGTTATTCTCTGAAGGAAAAGTAAAAGCAGAGCGTCACTTGAAATAACATTTATATATTCTTTTATTTTTTTAATTCACTTTATCAACGAACTTAATTGCTAAATATTTTTTTTACAGTTAATTATTCTATTGCCTTTGCCGTTACATATATACACTTAACTGCTACAATTTCTTTTTTGTTTTTTTCACTTAACTTAGCGCAAAACTTAAATTATGTACATTATTATTTTCTACTTAACACTTAATCCTCATTGTTGATTTTTTCAAGGTCATCAATGATGTTTGCATCTTCACATGCTTTCTTGACTTTAAACTGAAGGGCATTTCAATAAAAAACCTATACTTGATTGTTTCTTCCTTCCCTTCAGAATGTTTCTGAAATGCATTAGGCACCAATGCATGACATTTTTTTTATAAAGATCACAAACACTATTTACATTGCTTGAACTATCATCCTTATCTTTGTTGCCATATTTATCACAAAATTTCAGCTGGCCTACACTCTGGCCTTCTTCAGGTGGTTGGAATATCAAACTGAACCCTTTTTTTTGCTCGCTGGGGTAGACTGTTCTACTTCCACATGCCATGTCTAATGGATGTCAGTTATCAGTTATCTCCTGTTAATTCCCTCAACCAGGTATTGAACTCACACTCTTTGGGTCCTGTCACTGGATCTAACTAACGCCTTTATCCAGTGTGCCATGTGTCCTTGAGGACATTTGTGTATGAATTTCTGGGTATTATAAACCTAATGTCTTCAGCCTCATTTTTTTACCAGGGCTCATATTGCAATTTTTGCTGTTATCATTGCATGGTAAAAAAAACATGCAATGATAACAGCCAAAATTACAATATGAGAACTGGTAAAAAAATAGCAAATAGCAAATTTTGACATTTAACAAAAACCTGAGTAGAAGCTTTCCTACATAATCTTTTTAACATTATTGAATTATCATATACTGTATTACTCTCCCAGTAGGGTAAAGTGGTCAAAGGCAATAATTCAAAATTATTACATTTTTGAACATCCATACAAAAATAATCTAATATTTGCTAAAAGGAAAATAAATAAATAACATATTCAGTGATTTTTGTTTTTATATAACTGTAAAAAAAAATACACCAACATCCCCATCCAAATTAAAAAGTACATATAAATTATCAAAACTGTGAAACAGACAGACAAATATTTTCACAAAGGTTTCAAATAAAATGCACAATTCAGTATACAACTCATTTATTAATGGATAAGAACTGAAAGTTTTGTTTGAATCGAATAATTCTCTGAATTTTTAAAAACTAGCATTTGGGGGTGGGGGTGCTTTCATTTCAGAAAAAAACACATCCATTTTAGTATTTACTCTTTCAGTATTTGTATTTTCAAATAATATGTATTACTGCAAAAAGAAATTTTACCTGATATGTTGTGGGGACATTATTATTGTTATTAAATGAAAATATAAAATAATAATAATAATGAATATCATAAATGAGATAAAATAAATCAAATAATG